GTTTCACAGCCTCATTGAAGCCCTAACCTCTCATCCAATACCGTTCATTGCTCGCTAAAATCACGGCAACCGTCCTCCACAATCGAACTTACTTCCATTAAATAGTGTTCATTCCCTTGCTAAATCGCGGCGCAACTTCGATAGAAGTCCCTATCAAACAACACACGGTAAAATTTCAAAGAATGACTCGTTCAAGCAGTGGAAAGCGAGGGGAGAAAGTTGGAAGCCATGATTCAGATACAAGAGGTAAACTGAAAGTTGAAGAAATGCAAAAAGATTCCCCCTCTAAAAGACAAAAAACCACGCAGTCAATCGCAACTCAGTCCGCGAAAAAGGTGTGTTTTCAATCTTTCAATTTTTCATTCATTTCAAGCGTACCTCTGAACATTTTAGGCGATGGGTAATGTGTATGGATGAAGTATTTGGAATTTGTGGGGATACATTGCATTCAGTATATGCTGTGTAATTGCAATTGAAATACTGGAATCATTAAGTGGTTTTAATTGTTGTTTTGTAATGTAGTTGTTCAGTTGTGACTTGTGTAAGGGGATTTGTGTCGTTTTCTAAGTGTGTTGTTTAGTTTTGATCCGTGGGAGGGGACTTGTGACCCTATGCGTCAATCAGTCACAAATTATCAATTTTTTTAGGTCACACGTAATTTCATAATCACATATTATTTATTGATCACAAATTAACCAATTTAATGGTTACAGTCGACCAAATAATTGATGACCACACCAACACTTGCGACCTCCGACAACACCACCATCATCGCCGCGCCACTGCCACTGTCGCCAAACCACCATAACTGTTGCCGCCACCACAATAGCAGCACTACCAACAAAACCGTCACCACCAAATCCAACAAAAAAAATCTCAAACCCACCACCGCCTCCATCCCCGTCGCTATTACCAGTTCTACCACCATCTGTCACCGCCAATAACACAGACATCACCACACCACACTATAAGCACCACAAAGAGTCGTTTCACACCACCACACCGCATTGAACACAAGTCATTTCACAGCCACAAATCGCAGCGATTTGGGGCTCCTTTTGGCTGGCGAAGCTGCGGTTGCGTGTGTTTAGAGAGAGAAGTAGGTCGGTGATGGGCGGAGAGAGAGAGAGAGAGGGGATAGTGAGACGAGAGGTTTTGGAAGAAGATAAGAGGGGAGGAAGAGAGGTGAACGGCAGCATCGTCGCTGCGCGGTGAGCAGTAGCGGCTGCGCCGACCCATCGTAACGCTGTCATCGCACCATTCACAGAGGGAGGAGAGGGGAGGAAGACCGGAGGGGAGAGATAGAGGGGAGAGAGTAGTGTGTGTGAAAATTAGGGTTATTAATTAATGTTTTAATATATATTACCTGATTTTTGAATAAATAAACTTTAGACCTTATTTTTGAAAATCAATTTTTAAACACCTGAATTTGTGTAATTTCCTCATATTAACCTACGAACCCTAGCCCATTTAACTAAACCCACTACCACAAATTACAATACCCACCTATTGACCCAACAGTGAACCAAACCCTCCACAACATCTCTTCCTTCTCCTTAAACCTACCTTTTGCCCTGTGGCCAAAAGATTTTGTGAAATGGTGCAGTTATTCTTATTTGGGCTAGAAAAATGAACTTTGTGCGATAACATGCTTGTGCATTTGTTAAGAAATTGTGTTGAACACAACATTTATCTTACAAAGAGTTTGGTACTAAATGGAGCATCGGAAGTTCGAATCTCCGCGACAATTGAAATGTAAAATTTATGTTGAAAGACAGATCCTATCCGTACATCGTAAATGAGGGTCCACAGAAAAGAGAATCGCTTCTTGAATGTCTGGTCCAAGTGCATATAAGCTGTGATTGCATCTGACTTACCTGAATGACGAATCAGGGGGAAATGTCGTCACTCCTCAAAATTAGTTAGGCAAAGCTTGAACACCCGAGTTATAAAAAAAAAAGGAGTTCGGCTCTAGCTTAGCACTAATCCAATGTAGATGGCTGCCAAATTAATAGTGGTGTGCTATGGTAGACTTCTATCTTTTGTTTACACAAGCCATTATTACTAAGTTTATGTTTCTTCGAATAAAATAATTTTACACGATACATAACACTCTTTTTAATTTTTAACATTATAATCTCCAAAATATCATTTTTCACAAAATCCATCTTGGAAAACTACCTCAAATTGTACAATTTTTTTTCTACGGGCAATGTGTGGAGGGTATTTTGTTTTTCCTTTATTTTTAGCGTGGTTATATTGTCACCACAACTTTATTTGATACACCATATTTTAATTACAGTTAAACTCTTTAATCTTTACTCATTGTAGCAATTATTTCCTTAACTTTTTCTCGTCGAATACTTCAACCTTCTATTAATCAGAACGTCTTGTCCTTGATACTGATCTATATCAAAATATTTTATTTTCATACTCTGAAATAAGAGAAAAAATATTCGCACTTTTTATTTATTTATTTTTTAAAAATGTTATGAGAAAATAATTTATTTTACGTCATTTCAATGTACTTTTGAACATAAAACGTTATCAAATATAAAATATGTTAACTAATGAAAACTTGAGAATAAGAATGACTTAAAAAATCGTTAGGACACAAGTGCTATACTTAGCAAATATTAAGAACCTTAAATATAATTAAGGTATAATGCAAGAAATAAAAATTGTGATCTGAATATAATTATCCTTATTTTTATTTTTTCTTTATGTTTTAAGTCTAGTGATAGAAGGAGGCACAATCATTGGACATTTTTACCCTCAGTTTTGGTCACATGAAAGTCGCGCACACTTTATGGATAAAATGGAGGAAACCGTTCATAGGGACTGCTGCCCGCAGAATCAATACATTCAGGATGTGAGTGTCATAGTTAGAAGAATAGGGACTAAACTAGAGAAAGCCTATAGGCTAGGGACCATTTGTGCTGATTTCCCAATATATGATCTGGACAAATTTTGAAAAGGATTTTATTTAATTTCTGAGCTGAAAACAACCGCAACTGATTAAAAAAAGGGTCTCTTTGAGAAGCATTATTTGCTGTGTAAAATAATCTGCGGATTAGCAAAAAAGGTGAAATTTCTCCTCTGTAAAACTCAGTTTTTTTTTTTGGGGAAGTACATACGGTTTTATTTGTTCAAACATTATATGCTCAAATACTTGTATATGTATTTCATCCATATTGTAATCATACAGGGTTTTGACGGTTTGTTGAATTGGAAAACTAATACTAGAAAACTACCATGAATTCTTCAAATATTCTGCATTTTGAAGCGCTCTGCTGTACTGAGTATTAGGAATCAAGAATCAGTGCAGACAAACTGTTTGCTAAAATTCTTAAATAGAACTCTGCTCTACTGCCCACTTCCGCTTTAATTCATTTATTTACTATTGATATTGTGAATTCGGAGAGAGCTATTTAAGTGGGATTAATTCTTTTCTGTGTCCTTATTCTGTATTCTACGAACGCGAATTTTGTAATTGAACAGCTCCAATGGACATGTAGAAGTGAAATGCTATTCCCACTTGGACCAAGACTCAACTTTTACTTTACGAATAACAATTAAAATTGTTTGACCAATACGTCCAACTTTGCAGGGTAATTTAGAAATGGCAAAAGGTTTGGTATGGGCGACAGCGGAGGATTTGGCAAGAAATAGAGGCAGGGTTCTCTCACTGTATCGTCAAATATTGAGGGGTCTGAATTCACCTGATATACCACTGAACTTGGCAGCCAGACTAGCCAAGAAAGCAGAGGTTCGAGCCATTTTCTTGCTGGGTTCAGAGGAGCGTTCCCTTCACAACATAGAAGATCTTATTGATGCTGCTGAATATTCTCTCTCCCTCTTGAAGAAAGGAGAAATTCCGAAACACATTCAATAAATCCATGTACGATGCAAGTTACACGTAAGCTCCCTGTATTACTCTTTTTCTACTTGGATGAAGTTGGTGAATAAGGATGTTTTCCCTATGTTGTTTTGAGTCCTCTGGTGTCCTTGATGCAAGAGTCTATTTTAAAGACGCGTACAAATGATTGTCTTGCCCCAGTGTAATTCAAAGCTAAGAGCAACACAAAGTTAAAAGTACAACAATGACAAAAGCCTCAACCACTTTCTTAAAATATTTTGTATCAAAGTCTACATACATCCCTCAATGTTTTCACTACTGTTAATTCTTGGTCAGTCTCATAACCCACATGTAATCCACGTAGGTGTATCCACACCCGCTCGAGTGGAGAAGCAATCTGTCGAATAATTGAATTGCTATATGGTGGAATGTGGAGGCTGGATAAGGGGATGGGTCATAAGGCTATATGATAATGATAGAAACCTGATTTGTGTTGTATATTTGAGAGTATATTGTTGAAAAACGAATGGAAGTGCAATGGAAATTGAAAAGGAAATTGCAAAGTTTTGTCGAACATTGGAGAGGCTCGAGTCTCGCCCGAACTCATTCTCTAATATTTTGAATGAATCAAACAGACTAACCTCCCTCCATATATAAGCAGTCTACAAAAACGAAACTCCCTATTCCACCCCTTCCCCACTCTCACGTAGATAATTGAAATGACAAAAACAATTAAACATAACGAGGCCTATCACATACTTGGTACAAATGATTGGCTGATAACTTAGCGTTCGTTCGGCCTCCATTAATTTCACATTTTGCATTCTTATTTTCTCCACTTGTGGGATCACTATGTTTGAATTTAGTGCAAATCGATGACCTCCAATTGGCCCCCTATTGACTTCAGTTAGGGAAATCCACAAAAAAAAATCTTGATTTCCATTTTTGCCCTTTCCATTTATTTTTCACGTGTGAATTCTTTCGCCAAACGAGGGTAAAATGATATATTTCATTTCCAAAGGCCCTTATTCAATGCCGACAAATCTGGTGTACCTTTTCAATTTTTAACTATTTGTGTTCCTGTAACAAGATGTGACAAGGCAAGAAAATCTCATTAAAATGAGATTTAAACAGAGGCTTAATAGCTATCATTGGCTTATTGATGATGACCTTATGATTCTTTTTATACCTAATGCAACTATTACAATATGTGCATCAGTGTATGACTAATGATTGTGATGAAATAAAGCGTGCCTCTAGTGAAATGTTTGGCTCAATATGAATATGTTAATGATTTAAGTTGCCTCACATGGGCATGATTTATGAAAATGTATTTGCTCGATGTGAATGTGTTTTGAAAGTATTTTATGTAATTCACATGTCAGACGTCTACGTGGTGTGATTTGGGGGTGCAGATAGACTTTCGATGAGGTGATGGAAGGATCCCAACCAATGTTGGAATGATGTCTTAACGCTTTGAGGTCTCTAGGATGTTATGACCATTATATTATGATTTTATATCTACGTTTTAAGCATAATATGGGCAAATGACATATTGATAGATTTGTTCAGATGCACAATCTTTACTTTAACATGTAACTTATTACTTCTCGCATTAAATCATGTATTATGTATGTGTATACAGTCGATTCTACAATTGAAAGAATCGGATCGATTGGGCCACCAGCAATCCTGTGGAACTCAAGGAAAGTAGAACAAGAAAGAAGGACCGTTAAAGATCTTAAGGGGACACCGATGTGGTTTTGACCGAAGACTCTTTGCTGGTTAAGTTAGTAAAGCTTATCGAGAGTTGTATGAGTGCTAAACGAAAAGTGAGAAATAGTAGTTCAGAGTAGATAGAGCATACCTAGACGTTTGAATGACAATGGGACTTATAAGAGTGGGATAACTGTCTAGATGGGATAGGCATAGATTTTTCGAGATTCGTGGTTGGTTGGAGTTGAACCTGATCAAATCTATTCGATTGAGATATCCTGATTGTTTATAGATAACTCTCGCTTGACTTGGTCAAATCATAGTGTGGTATATCTTAACTGCTTGAAGATAGAATATTGGAGGTTTTGGGTTGACCTGTGGGTCTTGGATCGTGACTCGAGTTGGTTGGCATTAATGAGTTGGGCCAAAGATGACACATTTGTTAAGCTGGGCAGCTGGAATAATTTTTACCATTACAATTTGTACCCCACTCTTTAATCCTAGTTTTACTTGAATTAAAGAGTAGTTCGGGTGTTGATATGACCCTTTATAAAAAGTAAAAGGATGTTTTGTAAAATTTTCATCCAAAATAGGATGGGCTCAGGGCTAATTAGACTCTTAGTTGATAGTGCGCTCTGATCAAAGGACGGACCATTTGATCGTATAGTTTGGGGTGGGTGTAAGATTTGTTGTGGTCAGGGTGGTGATCGTTTGACCATTAAATCTACTATGATCGTCCGATGTTTAAGAACGACACGATGACGATGTTGGATGAAAGGGGCCAACATATAGTGTATTAACAAAATTATGAAAATATAATTTCCACGTCAAGTGTGAGATGAAATAGTAACATAATATTACTATGGTAGCTTTTCAATGCGAAAAATTAATTTTTCCGGGTTAAATAAGTTTGTTAGAAAGTATTTGAAATTTAGTGGGAAAACTTATTGAACGAAAATTAAAAAAATTCCGCATGGTAAGGTGGGGCACCATATGGTCATTTGGAAGTTCCCGCACGGATCCAAAAGTCGTGCGAAATTTGGAAATTACTACACAACTCAGAAGCCGTACGATATTTGTCACCACACGACAAGTTTCGGCATGTGACAGGAAAATGGTATGCATGCATTCCATGCACATCAACACTTAGGAAATTTGTCGAGTGGTGAATTGACATTTTTTTATTTGATATGTTGCAAAATTATTGATCTAACTAGATCGTACGACATATTTCGCTTGAAGTATTGGCTGGTCGGTAAATGCGTTCATCCAAATGGTTGAGTGCACATATTTGATCGATGATTTTGGACAAATTTTGGAGTCAGTTCTCCACTTCATTGGGCATGCCTATTTTCACAATTTAAAGGTTTCATTCTTCACTTCTCACATGGCTTAGGTAGATTTCCAAGGAGTTTTAGAGATTTTGATTGGTTTCTTTCCTTTCTTTTAGCTCTTGCTTTATTTTTGAATGTTTTTTTAGTGTTGTTCAATTATCCTTCCAAATCCATGAGTGGTCGCATTAGTCTTGATTCTATGTTTTTGGAGTTTTAATCCGTGATAAAGTGAAACCACCAGTGAATAGTTGTTTTTTAATGGAAGATAGATTGGGGTGATTTTAGTTGTGTTCCGTACTAAGTTCTTCCGGATTTCGGCCAAATGGAAGCAAAAGTACATTTATTCATTCGAACGACAACTCTTGGCCAAACAATTATACAAGCTTAAATCTTCCGGACGAACCAACACTAGTATGGCTTATAGGTGATCCAAGGATATGTTCTTTTCATGAGGTTGATCCGCAAAATATTTGCATTGACAGTGATTCGATCGGTCCAGGTCTTGATGGTGGCGATCCTCGACCTAGCTTTTTTGAAGAGAGTCGTCTGGGTGAGAAATATATCATGTTTAATAATAACATATCAAGCAAATTGATGAAAATTGACTGATAAAAATTCGGGATGCTTATGTTGTCCAGCATCTGTTCAATTCCATTTATGTGACTGCACAAAAGATTTAGGAATGTCCCGGTTGGATGTTCTTCTACAAGTTGCCATTTCAAGATAGCTTTTGGTGTCCGATCCCTCAAATGTCGAGATGGTGTTAGAGCATTTTGAAATTGCACGAAGCCAACTCTTAGCCCTCCAAGTCCTTGCTAAGCGGCACGATATTACATTTGGCATGTTGGAGCTGTTGCATGGTTACTTCATGAAGGATAATGATGGTGAAAAAGGTCGATTTTCCTTAAATGTGAGGAAAAATATCGATCTGTTGATAGTTGTCCTTTCTTTTGGAGATAATGGTTGAAAGGGTCTTATTTTCTTGCGTCGTGCGATTTGGGTTGGTGAGAGAATTATTGTTTTCCTATAGTGTGGTGATGTAGTGAGTTTCATAGATTATTTCCTCACAAGACGTTTTATTGATTCGAGGTTCTTATTACATTGTTTTGCAGGTCATCGCATCAACACGTAGCTCGTCGAAAGACTATTCATCATGGAGAGTATTTCGAAGATCGTAGTAATATCCAAATATCAGAGGCATTGTCATTTTCTTTTATCCTCAGAGGTCCTATCTTCGATCATCTTGTGGGATCATATTTCAGTAGAACCAAGAGATATTACTTTTGAGTTTCCAAGACATATGGTCCCTATTATATTGGTAAAGAAAGGTTTGTAAATTAACTATAGTAACCTATCTTTCTACGGTTCTCTTAATCCGACTAATCGTGAGATTGCAGATCGAGTCATGTCAAAGGTGATAAGATCTTCGCTTGATGCTTTGGAGATGAGAAAGGTAAAGAAGAAGTAGCCTAAGGTTCTTCCATAGGGTTTGTTGACACATTAGTCTCATCTAATGGTTTTACGAATTAGATTGACCTTACCGATGTTTTCTCGGTGGCCCGCAAGCGCGATCATCTAAGGCCGTCACGGTGGATGACAATTCAATCATGCTTACTTTTCCATTCGATTCATCTGCGTTCTCTAACTTAGAAGTGGTGGCACTTGGTGAAGGTCTTTTGTTTCCTGAAGATCAGACATGTTATAAGGAACTTGGACAAGTGAAGGCAGTTGAGAACATGATGACTCGATTTTTCAATACAGTATTTTTCGGACACTTCATTATGAATAACCCTCTTGATTGAATCTAACTTTTTTTTATTGACTTAAGGGATTGAAAGGTGCTGTTTTTCTAGAAGAATGAAGCCATTAGACAGGCTAGAAGAGTGTTCATTACAAGATGTGAATGTCTTATTATGAAGGAGCTTGCAAGCTTGAAATAATCTTCGAAGAGCTCAGATTTCTTCTTTGAAAGATCATCTAGAGAAC